ACATCGATTTTTCAGCGAAAATAAAGCCGCAAGCAATGTCGAAATCTAATATATATATAAATTAACGTTAATTGTTTATATTAGCTCTAAAACCAGGGCCGATTATTTTCTGCGAAAAATCTAAATTTCTTGATTAAATGAATCCTGCGTTGGTTACAAGTATTTTCGAACACTCTAAACAACTTTACTTAGTTTTACTTTTGCAAGAAAACAGATCTTGAGAAACATTAGGAATTATCAAAAACTAGATCTTAAACTGCTATCAAAAACGTCGATCGAAGAAATTGAAAATTGAATAAAGATAAACGTAAACCAAATGCTAGTAGCTAGTTTCATCTGCTATTCAATAATTATTTATTGCGATAGGCCGAAATTTGTGTATTTTTTAATTTTTTATTTTTTTAGGGTTGAGTCAAAATTTGGGATGGATTAATTAATAAAAGAGTAAAAGTAGATTTTATAGGATTAATATGTTCAAATAAAGATCCAATTTCAGAATCAGCCGCGATAATAAACATATAAAACCAAATTAAAATTTGTTTATAACGCGCAATCCATAGTTTATCAAATCTATTTCAAAAAAAAGATAAAATCGTTCTAAATTCTATAGGAAATTAATAACTCTTAGTATGAACCACACTTGGCCCATGCTCATTGTAATCGACTTTATTAATAAAACCTTTAGGATCAGGAAAAGAAAACTTAAAGAGTGAAAATATAAAAACGCGTAAGTATAGATTCTTTTAAATTTATAATTACAATTAATTGAATAATAAACTTACTTTAGCTGTAATGGCAGCACCTAAATATCCAGCTAACTCGGGTTTTTCTTTGAGAGTTGAAAAATATTCTGGTAGTTTTAAAAATTTTGCTTCTTTAATTTGGTATTCGCCAGCATTGTTCGAAGAATAAAGATATACATTTAACTCTTTTTCAAGACGATCTTTGAAGCCTGGTACATTCCACAACAAAATAAATAAATATTAATGATGCTATAATTAATTTTCAAGTCTATTAAAATACACCGTAGGTGTTAAGCACCATGCTAAATAAAGATATACATTTAACTCTTTTTCAAGACGATCTTTGAAGCCTGGTACATTCCACAACAAAATAAATAAATATTAATGATGCTATAATTAATTTTCAAGTCTATTAAAATACACCGTAGGTGTTAAGCACCATGCTATAGTTGCTACATCACTCCAGGTAAAAATACTCAACACCCCAGAATCTTTTCTCTAACTCTTACCCTCCCAACTTCTAATCCTAAATCTAAATATTATCGGTAAAAATCTTTAATACAAATAATAAATATAATAAAAAACATATATATATATATATGGTATTGAACACAATAGGTGCATTTTGTATTTTTTTAACCGACAATATATCCAATATATAAACGACGCAATAAAAATCAAAAAAAGATACATACCTTTCAATAAAGATGATCCACCAGTAAAAGCAATATTCTCCCATAATATATTTCGTTTGTCTGGCTCACAATGAGATATTGCCTGATAAATCGCCGCAGGTAAAGAGAGAATCCCCTCTTTTTTCGTTAAAAGAGGGTTAAAAATGGGTTCAACAACTTGAAAACGTTCAGGGCCAATTGTAACCTATTTTGATCGATTATAATATTGAATATATGATAAAACATAATGTATAAAATAATGTATAAAATCGTAGTATAAAACAGACCTTCCTTCCGTTGCATTCAACTTCTATTCTATCTGGCCTATCTTCTATGAAATCAATATCTGGAAGAACCTCACAAGTATTATAAGACTCTTTGAGTATTCTTGCGACTTCAATATCTGGTGTTTCACCATATTCCATTAAGAATTGGGAATCAGATAACAGCAATGAAAGAAAATATTCATCAAAATCTTGGCCAGCGATTGGTATCGTTATAGCTGCGTGATATTGGACGGAGCAATCAATTATTGGTGTAATTTCTAATTAAAATTTATTAGTGTTAATTGAACTTTAATTATCTATAAAAGTAGGTACTTAAAAAATATTCTACCGATTTATGCATACCAGTTTTACCATATCCAACATCAATTACAAGTCCACTAAGACAACCGATGCCATATAGGGTCATCAGGGATTGATTAGCAATATAGAGTCCAGGTGCATTAAAAGTTTCAAAAAAAATATGAGCTATTCGTTCAAAATGTTCTTTTGTCCAACTATTAGGAACTGTAACAAGCACAGGACATTCATTACGAGCTCTTTTGATATTTAATTCCTTCAAGATAATGTGACGCCTATCAATAATAATAATAATAATGATAAATGAAATTCATTGTTAAAATAAAGAATATCACACATTGGTATTTCATATATTAATTACCATAAAGCTTCTAATCCTTCCCAATTAACTATCACTCCACGTTGTATCGGAAATGTCGATACGGTATTGTTGTTGCTTTCTTTAAGTTCCTTTAATTGAGATCCACATATATAAGTTGGTTCTCTTACAGTTACTTTATCAGGCGAATTCGGACCGGAATCATCAGAAATAGAAGAGATCTCCTGTTGACCCAAATTTTCATTTTGTTTATCAAAGTCACTCTCAGCCTGCTTGGCAACTTCTGTAAGAATTACCTAAAAAAAAAAACAAAAAAGAATTTAACTTTTTTGAATTCCAGTTATTGCATATATAACACGACAAAATGATTTATTACCACTGATGGACTCTGGTTGGTATCGCTAACACCAATTCCCGCTTTTGTTCTCCACGAACCATTCTCGATAATCACATAATTTTCTTCTTTAAGAGTGAAATGCATTTACGTTACGAGTTGCCGAGTACATCTATGTACCCCCCTCCAAATTCGGTGTGCTGTTTAGAAGACATTAATTTGATTGGCTAATTTACATAGATCCAATCAAATCGATCAAAAAAAATGGCGGTCTTCATACCAGATAACAGATACTTGATAACGATAATTGATAATAATGATAAGCTGTACGAACGAACATACTTTTTAATTTATAAGTGCAAGCATTTGAAGGTCAGAGATAGTTACCTCACACGTCATATAAATTTGAATAGCGAAATCTTATTTTAACGAGGCACACTAATTATATAACACTTTCCTTCCGAATAACCAAATCAAGTGAGGTGCATTAGTAACAAATGAGTGATGGAAAGAGAAAACCCGTAAATTGATTCACTACCTTCATCTTATCTCGGCACTGAAGAATCTAATCTTACACGACCGTCAATTTTTTAATAAATCCGTTTGATGTCAAAGCAAATACGCGTTATGTAAAACGATTAGGTGTGTACGTACATATTTGGTTATACGTAATTATTGTGGTCTAGTCTAATAAGGCGAACGTTAGATATTATGCATAAAACAGATCGGCAAATATTTACTAACTCGTGTACAAACTTTCTACGTAGCAATTTTTTGTAGCAACCGATTTGCATAACATAAAAGAGAATTTCGGTAATTGGGTATTTTAAACATTGCAAGAACAAATGAAAAAATAGTGTATATTAAAAAAAATTTTTTTTTTTTTATAAGGAATAATTCGTATAACGATAATATAACAAAAAAAGAATTATGGTAAGATTTTTTGATTAATTAAATATTATATTATATTATTAACAAAAATTTTTTTGTGTTACGTATTATATATTTTTAATGGTGATACTGTACTTTATACTAAAAGCAGTATACAGTATTTTTTTTTTAAAAAAAAACTTAAGAATATATCTGTTGTAAGTGGATTTAAGTGGATTCGGAATTTTTAGTTAAAAATAGGGTTAGGTTTATATATTATAAAAAATCTACTAATTTAACTAAAGAATTCTGAATCCACTTACAACATATATATTTATAATTTATCAAAAGTAATATGATAGCATTATCTATATATATTAGTTGAAAACCAATTATATTATTTTAATTATATATAGGTATATAATACAAAACTATATTTGTATGTTAAGAACATTATACAGTTTCGAGGTAAATTGAATCCCCATAAAAAAAAAAAAAAGGGTAAATTAAACAGATGCTAAATGGTATACTCGTCTGTTGCAGTAAAAGGTTTAATCATCGTAAGAGCTTAATGTAATCATTGGGACGCAGTGTATACCATAACAAAAACTGTGTATAAACGGAAATAGTCCTTCGTTATAATACAAATTATAGCGGTTCGGATAATATATTTCTATTAAATATCTTCGTGTTTAGCAAAGTTATCTATACTCATTTGACCGTGGAGGGAAGTTAATAAATTGATCAGATCTCGTTCGTCCACTTGTTAACACTCCCACGTATGGCATTACATCCCAATGTAAGGAGTACGATGCATTCACCTGACTATGAATAGGAAAGGTTCAGTCAACTTAGAAATTAATATATGAAAAATAAAAATAAAATAAAAAAGGTAATTATTAAAGCACCAGGCTTACCGGAAGCTTGTTGTGATATCAACAAAGTTATATTCATTATGTAAATCTGAGACTTTGATGAGTGCCTCTTCTTTTGACTGAATGATCGAATCCCACAAAACCACTTGGTTAATATCCTACATTAAATTAAATATTATCAAAATTGCGTTAGGAAATCTGATTTGATCTAGCAATCAAGTAATGTAAACTTCAAAATCTAACGTACGTGCGAATTAGTTTCATATTCTGCAACAACGGAAACAAATAATTGTTTCGTATTCCAATTGAATAGGGAGGTTAAGTCTTGAAAACAAAAAGTAGGACGTAATTAAACGCAAGGAAATAAAGAAATAAGTTTTTATTATTTTAATTATATATATATATGTAAATATATTTTTTTTTTAAAAAAAAAAACTGACCAGCATCAAGATTCAATTTCACAAATGCAAACTCGCTATCGCCTCGACCCATATAGTCGTATGAAATAACTTGTATATCTTTAACATTAATTTGAGCTGAAGGTGAAGAAGGTAAAAATGGCGTCGCTATCGCTATTGCAGCGAGGACGCCAAATGTGACTGTCATTGCAAATGCGAATATCGCATTAGCACGCTGAAGAAGATTATACATTTCTGACTAGGAGTCATTAAAGACCTCTTAGAAGATCAATTTATATTCGATCAAATGCTACGATGGACGTGCTGTAGCGTGATTGGTTAGATATGATCGGTCATCGTACATGTCACTTATGTCACTACTAACGCTAAGAGCGTTTAAAATGCTTCATTCCAAGAATTTTATAGCATAATCAATAAAATACCATATAATGGAAGTCCTCAAAAGTAATTTTCACGAGCTTTTGCCAACAATTACAGATGCTATTCAAGGGGCCGATTTTATAGCTATAGATACTGAATTGACAGGTTAGCACACCAAGGAAAGTCCCAGCAACGTTAGAAAAGAAAGTTATATGTTAAGCGTTTCTCTTTTTTTTATTGGAAATAACAGGGCTTAGCGAGCATATTGAACGAATTAAAAGCTTCGATGATCCACAATCAAGATATTCAAAGGTTCGAGCCGCAGCTACTAAGGCAAGTTAAGCTGTGGTATCCAGCGTATCATAGCAACAGTTGTGTTAACTTATTAATGAACTTTTTTTTTTACATGCTTTAGTTTCTTATTATTCAATTTGGCCTATGCACCTTTACATACGATCAAGACGAAGATACTTTCGTTGCTCGCCCATTTAATTTTTATATCTTTCCAGCCAATGCTGATAGAAGGGATTACAATGATATTTGCTTTATGTGTAGCGGATCAAGTTTACATTTCTTAATGAAATGTGGGTTTGATTTTAACAAATTGATTTCTCAAGGTAATTTTTAATTAAGAAAATTTTTTACTAATTCTTTTTTACAATTATATTTTTTATTTAATTTAAATTGTATATATATGTTCAATTATACATTCAATTATACATTCAACTATACATTCAATTATACATAGGAATGCCATATTTGAATCATACGGAAGAAGCGAAACTTTTACAAAGAAGGGCTGATATGGCACAAAGGCAAACAGGTAAGGTCATATATTATTTTATCATTATTTTAAATAAAATATAAATTAATTAGGTTTTTCATATCTTAGACAATCCACCGGATGGCGAAACTAAAGTGTTTGTAGATAAAGCTATGTGAGTTTTGATAATTCTATCAAATTCGTTCGATATCAATGTTTAAGGTTTTGTGGAATAAATCTTTGATTCTATATGGATATATTTACTTAGTCTGACTTGTGGTGTCATATATTAAAAATAGTGCTTCAATCGAAGCGTGGTTAGACAGTCATGAAAAGCAGTTAAAATTATCAACACCACAAATTAGCCAGAAACGGCTGATCTTTCAGGAAATTAGGGCAAGGTAAAAACGTTTTTTGATTCATTAATCTAGTATAAATATAGATATTGTATATATTATTAAAATATTAATGTACAATACGTAGATTCAGTGGACTCATATCCGCAGAGAGTAAGCCTAAATGCATAGTGCTTGAAAAGTTGTCAGATGAACAAAAGGAGAAAAAATCCAGAGACGAGGCTGCTGAAGTAAACCTCAGACAACTAATATCAGAGCGTGTTCTAAAGACATGAGTAACTAAAAATATTTTTTTGTTCAGGTTCTGGCTGCCAGTATAAATTTTCGAGTTATTATTGAGCTGTTGATGCAATCAAAAAAACCTCTGGTAGGTCATAATTGTTTTTTGGATATTTGTCAAATTGTTCATCAATTTTGGCAGGATCTGCCAGAGAAGTTGAAAGATTGGAAAAAGCTCGTGCATGGATTGTTCGATGTGTAAGAGTCATTATATAACTATATTATTGTTAAGTTTTTAATCAAAACAATTAAACAATATCAGAACGATTAAACAATTTTAATAATGAATCATAGAATTATTGATACGAAGCATTTGGCAGCAACACACCGAAAATTGCAGGTAAAGAGTTGTTTGATATGATTTCAGAGTTTATTATTATTACTATTATTGTTATTATTATTTATTTCGTACCGCAATTTTTAGTCACTTCTACCAAAGAATAGTGTTCAAGACATTTTAGAAATTGTTCAGGAAGAGCAATTTGAGAAACTGGCTCCGAAAGTTGGTATGCTTATTTTTAAATCGTCATCAAATTATATATAAGATCATGTTGCTAGATATAATATTTATATGTATAGTTCTGGATCCAAATTTTACTCGATACACGTTTAATGATATAAATAAAAATCACGAGGCCGGTTATGACGCGTATATCACCGGGTATAACTTTGTTAGAATGGCAGTATATATTCTCCACGAAAAAGGTGCGATATTGGAGTTGGTTTAATTTCATTATCGTCAATATTAACAAATTTATAATAAGCTCCTTTATTGATATTTTAATAGAAGAGAAGGTTGATGTTTATGCTAATGTATTGGGTGATTGTTCGACGAATGGACTAGATATGGAAATTGTGCCAGAACAAGTTGATGATGATTATGATGATGATGAGGAGATGAATTTATTTCAATTTATGATGTCAACTGAAAAATTGTCGCGTTTTTATAACAAATTGCATTTATTGAGATCAGATTTCAAGTATATAAACTTGGATGGCGACGATGGATGTAAGTAATGACCTTTTACCAAATTACCTTTAACTAAATTATTTTTCACTAAATTATCTTTCACTAAATTATCTTTAACTAAATTATCTTTCACTTTAATAAATATACTTACTACTTGATTTATGATTAGATCCTCCGACTAAAACAAATGGATTCTTGATATCAAATATTCCAGCATCTTGCTCTAAAGCGACAATGAACGCCCTTTTCGAAGAATATGGAAACATATTTTTCCAATGGATTGATGATACTCATTGCTGGCTTACTGTTAAGGATGATAAGAAAATAAATAAAGTCCCACTTGGCATTTTGGGTAAATCAAAAATGTTTTTAGAGTTTCTGGAAGGCGGTAAAAAATATGATCTGGCACAAGAAAAAGGAATTACGAAGGAAATGGGAGAAATTTTTATCCAGTCATGGGGTGATTGGATTCAAGCAATATTAGAAGCAGAAGAGGATAAAGATATAATTGAGCCTCCAAGTATTGATAGCACATCATTCGATGGTATGTATCTTTATAAATGATTTTACGTCAAGATATCGTGCATAATAAGTCTATAGTTACTGTAAAATAATTTACTAGCCGGGGTTGCCTCTATTTAGAAATAAAAGACGAAACATATGATGATCGTATTGAAGAGATAGAATTTGAATATAAAGAACCTTTCCAAATTCCTCGAGATGAATTATCGACCTGGGGATGTTTGAATGAATGGAAGGAAGATGGTAATGCAGACGATACGTCAAGTGAATGGGGTCAACCTCCTACATATTTCTCTGAGACAATAAATACCAGTATTAAACGTACGCTATCGACACATCTAACAGAAGATGATAATTGTAATGAAAATGATATAAATGATGCATTTAAGAGAACAAAAATCGGGTAGGATTAATATTTGCGTATTTTAACCATACTAAGTTGTATGTTTTATTTTACGTGTCATTTATATCATTTATTGTTTGACCCATTAATAATTATTTTTGACGACGTATTTTGGTGTTTTTTTTTGTCTAAAAAAAAAAAATCAAATTTCTGGCTGGCTTCTAATGGCTTCACCGTATCCATCTTATAATCCAAAATGTACGAGTGTTGACTTTACTACAAAATTTTTTATATTATATTTAACATTTCTGCGGTTAATCATGTTTTACAGAGTCTTTCGATATTTACACTCTTTTTTCTCTATTGCTTGAAAGAAATTTTCATATGACTACCCATTGAAAAATTTGTATATTCAATTATGCTCGTATAAATGATTACTTTTATTGAACAAGAAAGTAGAAGGTAATATAAATAAATAAGACCCGATATATTCTTAATCGTTAATTAATTAATATTGTCATTGCTAGGACTTTGATATTGCATTAAAATATTATGGGAATTTAGGTTTATGGGTAAATATAATATACATGTACATTAAATGTTTCATAAACATTATTAACACTATTTATTAATATATATCATATTTCTACTATTGTAAAAGATTAATTAAAAGATTAGGAAATTACTCTAAAAATAAATAAGAGCAAAGTCAAAATCGTAAATGAAATGTAACTTTGCAGACATCAAGAAGAGAAAGAATGTTAAGATTTTTTTAAAATTTTCCAAAAAAAAGAAATTTTTTTCTGAGACCTTTTTTTTTGGCGCCACCAATACCTCCTATCTTAAAACTAGATTTACTACTCCTATTGCTATTATCACTATTAATACTAACGTTGTCTGATTGATCTTGTTCTAAACTTTCTCTTTCCGATGATAATTTTATATCTAATAGTTCTTTTTCTAATTTCCAATCAAAGTCCACAAGAAAACAACCAGTAACAGGTCTATGATCAGAAAATCCTACAACATTCATATGACTTGTATATTTTCCAACTTCAATTTTCTTTCCATGTTTTGACGGTAAACGTGTCTTAAAAATTATTCTATCAGTCCAACTTGGTACACGTTGTTTTGGCCCTGAATCGTATTTCAATGAACTTGTTTCAATAAATGCGGGCGCAGATGGATATCGTGATAATGGAGGATGTTCCTGATTATTTTGACTTGTACGATGAGTTATGTCAAATTTAAACGTGGGATAAAAATCTATTTTGTGTTCTCTGAAATTAGAAAAATAGGAAAAGTCTGAAAGTTCTTTGCTTAATTGGTCATTACAGAGGAGAGTCTTATAATTTGAATTATATATAGATTATATATAGGTTAATCATTTAATGCATATTTTATCACGAGCTAATAATAATATACACTCACTTTTAAATCTTTTTTAATAATTAATTTGTCAACTTCTTCTCTCGGTAAGTCAATACGGTAATTCATATCGCCAAACCAAAAAGTGTAATCAAACCTATCAGTAACATTTACCTGAACTTTAATACAATAAAAATAAGTATAAATATTTTATATAAAAAAAAATCAAATAACAAAATACAAATGGTAGAACATACGTTTATCTTCCGGTTTAAACCCTTTTAATCTCAATTCTTTGGATATTTTTTTTACATCCTGATTTCGTTGCTTGACTTTGCTTTGGTGAGCTAAATTTAAAGACCAATAAATAATTGAAGAATAATATTTTTGGGCCGAAAATAAAAAATTACAAACCTGCTAAATGGCTATTTATAAAGCACAGAGATGTATTACCAAATAATAATGAAATACCAACACCACCTTTATTCCCAAACAAATTTGCCAATCCAGTCGCAACTGAATCATGTTGGTAACCTATTTTTAAAGATGTTACATCATCAATTACAATAAAAGTTTGTAATATATCATAAATAGATACAAGACATACCCTGAACCCAATCCTCGCATTCTCGCCATACAAATACAGCCTAGGTATTATAATTAATTGTTAATATATATTTATTGTTAAAAAAAAAAGATAAATAATAAATTACCAAATGCAACGCAGCCATTGTTTCAGTTTTAACTAAAACATAGGTATCTCCCAAATAATCAATTAATCTTGATTCCCATTCCTCTTTTGAAGGAAATAATACTGAATGTTTAATATTATGTTGACACTCTTGAGTTCCTATTACTAGAATATGATATGGATGTTGAACTTTTCGAGAAAGGATAGGCAGACTTTGTCTATCATTAGGAGGCTTAACGTCTACATTTTCGACAAAAGGGGCAAGGTTATATGGAGGGAGCTACCAATAATAATAGACATTCAAAGATCAGATTAAAATATAGAATTAGCATAAAAATTTGTAAGTATTTACTTTTCCATGCATGTTCCATGTTCCAATAAAAATTTTAAGCTTTTTATCAGCTTTTTTTGATTTTAAAGATTTGGCAGCTGATAAAGTCTCTTTTGGTACTTTCTTGAATATTGAAAGAAGAAAATCGATATATGCAAGCATTCTTCGTATGAAGTTTTGAAGTTTTATAATGATCGTTTCATTCTCCGTATTTTCAGCTTCAAGAAGAGCAACATACTCCTCATTAGCAACCGCCCTTAAGGTTTCTAATGAATCCGGAGAAGCTATATTTGAAAAGGATCGTTTAACCTAGAAACTTTTATATATATAGTTTTAAGATGATTTATACTTTTTAAATACCTCTCACTGAAGCTGACATTGTTATTTGAATGAAATTATTAATTAGAAAAGTATAAAAAGTATATAAGTAATAAAGTAAAAAGTGTGCAAGCTCTATGTACCAGTACATTGAGTTTTATAGCATAGAAGTATGCAAAACTGTATATTAATTACCCCGACTTCGCGCTCTTTGTAGTCCGCGTTTAAAATGGTGAACAAAGTCCTTATAAACTAATTCAAATTGATCCAAATTTGTTAATACACAAATATTATACATAAATTGTAATAAATAATCATGCAGTATATTTTAATAAATTTACTAAAATAAACACCTATTTTTGTTGATAGGTTCACGTGGTTAATGTAAGACCGTTGAAAGTAACGTATTTTAACGTCCTTTTTGAACAAAGACGCAGGGGAAAGGTATAGGGGCCTGTAAAAATAAAAGCACATCAGATATCAGATGCCATCAGGTACTACAGTACAGGGACATCAGAAACCTGAAAAAAAACTTGGATACTAATTTACAACTTTATGATATCAGTAATCGAAATAAGTAATTAAGAAGCAATTATACAGCAAACTTTTTTTAAGCCATCTTTTTTAAGGACCAAAAAATCACTATTCTATGCAAAAAAATAAAATTAGGGCTAATCTAAATATAGCATGGGATCGGGATCGATACTCTTGCCATCAAATCGTTTAATTTTGTAAAATGATCGAATAAAAACAATCCGAAAAAAATAAAATATAGATATTTTAAGTTAAATTAAAAGTGCTTAGACGTAAGAATGATGTAAGGTTATACAGCCTATCGAATTTTTTGGCTTTTATGACCAAATCAAATTTTTTTTGGTTAGATTTTTTTTTTTCAAAAACAGGATTGACATTGTTTAAAAATTTTAAGTTTATAACTTGGTTTAGCTTGGCTTAAAAAACCGGCTTAAACCCTAAAACCATGGTTTAAACCAATGTCTTAAATTCACTTTAGTTACCGATCCACAACCAAATAAAAATTTAGCTGCGCATATAAACATTTAATTGATGTATTTTGCAAATTTATATGTGAAATCTAAAATTTTGTTGCCCGCAGACTGCGCAACTCAATTTCAGGCTGGAGGTCTGATCTGACCTGACGAACCAAATATCAACCTAAAGATCAGTTACGTTTTAGAGCTCAAATAATTACATAATAATATTTGCAAAAGACAATATTAGTAAAATTGTATTATTGGTACTGTATCCATTGTTGAATTAAATTTTCAAACACCCTGATTTTTAGGGTGATACTATGATGGTTGGTCTGATCTGATAATCTTTTTTAATACCCGAATATTCAATTCGATGATCATAAAATATAGTTGTTGATTTGGAATATAATAATGAATGCAATATTATCATTATGACGTTGAATAATTGTGAGTTTAAACATTTGGGCTAATTTTTTTATTGACCTTTTTTTGGTCACAAAAAAACTGACCAATGATTACTTAAATTGTAAGTTTTTGCTAGATATTAGACAGTCAATTGATGCGTACGTCACTAGAAGGTACCCTAAATTTAAAAAATCTCATAATAGAACTTGCTTCTAACCGATTACCCCACCCTTTAACTGATTACTTTTTTTCACTAATCAACACAATCAATTACTGTTATGTTTATTTATGCCGATATTGATATACAATATATTAGTCAAATAAAAATCTAACTATATACTTTAAATTTTGGGTACAGAAAAAATTAGCCCAGATGATACACATGTTTGCAACATATGCCAAAGTTATAGAGGGCGTTTATCACAATTGTTCTAGTTGTAAGTATCCACTTTTTGCATCATCCATTTCAGAATTTCAGAATAGGTTTTTTCATATTTCTTGAAATTTAATAAAGACATCTTTTTATATCCTGTCATCATTATTGCACTCTCTAATCTATAATATCGAATAGTATTAATAACTGTGGTAGATTAAAATGAAATTTTTCTATTTTTTTAAGAAAATTTGAAATTTTTTGGGACATTTTTTAGGGTTAGTGTTAAGCTTAGAGTTAGGGTTTAGTGTTAGTTTTATTAATAAAAAAGTATAAGTGGGTTTTATAAGCTTTAAAGATAAGCAAGAAAGGTTCCCAGTTTTATTTTAATCTGATTTCATTATAATCTGCAACAATAAATGCTTCAAGATGTTAAATATTTACTAAAATGTCTAAAGTTTTTATTTGAATCATTCTTTAAAATATTTAATTTTATCTAAATTGCAAAGAAAAAATTTCACAAATTATTAATAAGCTTTTTTTTCAAAATGTTAAGTCAGTAAATGGCTTTATATTTTTTTTCTAT